CAAGGAGAGCACAGAAGTGAAGAAGAGGAAAAAAATTTGAAAATTCGTAGAAGTCAGATACTTATAGGAGAAAGAAAGAAGAAGAATTCGATCGTGACCGTCTATTCGAACGGGCGAGATTCAAAGTAGATCGCCTCGAATCCGGCGCAAGAGGTGTCGATTGGAATCCCTCAGTAATGACCTAGGGAAGAGGGAAAATCAATCATAACCGTCTATTCGGGCGGGTGGGATTTAATATAGGGCGTCTTGAATCCGGCGCATAAAGCACTGATTTGAAAGTTCACCATGATGACTTAGGGGACTCGAATCGTCCACGCAGAATGTCAGAGTCATTAAACGGAAGGAAAAAGTGAAAAGATCGCGTACATCGGACCGATATGAACTAAGGTCCAAACCTACACCTCGTACTCCGTACTTATAAAACGAGGTAAGGAAAAACCAACTCGTCTTATAAATAAGGAGTAGGGGGGAGTAGTTGATACGGGTCATTATGACGAGATGAGCACAATGCAAGCTCAGGAAAGATAAGTTATTATAAGGTCCGATGCCAGACGGCGACTTTCGGATAACGAGCTGGCAGAGCCATAACTCGGACCCCGACATAACCATGGCCCAAGACAGGCCCATTAAGAGAAGGCCCAAATACTTGACTTGAGGGGGGAGAAAACCCTAAAAAGGAAACCTTGGGAACCAAGGTTTCCTCATCTATAAATAGAAGGATCTTCAAACACACGCATACACAAGAATATACATTAATTACTATTACATTGCATACACATTTTTCCTTTATTCCGATCACTGACTTGATCGTCGGAGCTTTCCCGCCGGGAACCCCTCCCGGCGTTGCAGGCATTCTCACTGGAGTACGGACCAAGTTGCTTTGAAGAAGAAGGAAGCCCCACGGACTAAATCAGTTGCTATCTTTAAACTTTGATTTTTGTCAGTCTCTCCAAAGTTTTTGCATGGGTTTATGGCTTTAAGGGATTACGAACTTGGTGGCTTACGGTTTCAGAGAGAAATATGATGGGAATAATTTGGGAATAGCATTGCTAGGGTTTACAAAATTGAGAGAGTGAAAGAAAAATTGGAATTTGGATTAGAGAAAGTTAGGTAAGAGTAGGCGTGTAAATGAGCCGAGTCGGCTCGACAAAAGTTCAAACTCGAACTCAAAATTTTCGAATTCGTGCTTTTTGACGAGTCGAGCACGAGCTCATTTTTAGTTGTTCGTGAGCTTGCGAACTTTTTTTATTTACAATAAATAATAATTCATTAAATATATTTGAAATATAATTAATATAATATAAAATAAATAATAATTTATATAAATAATTAAAAAAATAAATTTACAGGTTATTTTTTTTATTTAGATTTTTTTATTACATATTACTGTCGTTGACCAATAAAATTACTGTAAATACAATAATATTGCTATCAACCAAATCAACATTATTTTTTTTTTGGCCTTTTTATTTTGTTTGATTAATATTATTGTCTACTATAATAATATTATTGAAATCACAAAAATATTACTTTGGTTAACGGTATTACTGTTGTTGTTACAGTAATATTACTGTGGTTGACAATAATATTATTGTCAACCACATCAATATTAATTCTTTTGGTTTTTTATTATATTTGTCTTTGTTGAACGGTCAACATATTAATATTACTCTATTACACAATAATAATGATTTTTGTTGTGTTAATACTTAATATTACTCTGCTAGAGAGTAATAGAACAATATTATTGTGTAAAACAGTAATATAGTTAATATTAATGTGTTAAACAGTAATATAGTTAATATGTCAACCACATTGACCAAAAAATGTTGAAGAAAAAAAAAAGTCAACTGTGGCAGAAGAAAAAAAAACATCAAAAAAACCAGCGCCGAAGACCAGCGGAAAAAACAGGCAAAAAATAAAAAGGAGACCGGCGGTGACGGACGAAATTGTAGTCCAAATTGGGTTATGAGTCAAAATTGAATAATTGATGAATGAAATGACGAGACTATGCAGCGGCGCTAGGGTTGATATTGCGTATGGGATTTCAATAGAGCCCACCGCCAACATTGTTTTATTGTTGTTGTTGTTCTTCTTATTCTCTGATTTTTTTTTGAACCCAATTCTCGAATCTCAATTTTCTTATTTGGAGTTTTTGGTTGAATTCTTATATTGAAGGCTAATTTTGTGTTCAATCAATGGTATAATAGATGTTTGTTTTTGGTGAAATTGTGTTGGTGTTATTAACAGATATATAGTTGTTTTCGTACAACAATATAGTTGTTTTTATTATTTTTTAGTTGATTTTGATAAATAGTTGATTTAACAAATAGTTAATTTTGATAAATGAGAGTTATTGGAGATATATAGTTGTTTTAATCATAATTGTTTTAACAACAATTGTTTTTAATAATAGTTATTTTTAATAATAGTTGTTTTATGAAATATAGTTGTTTTAACTGATGAAAAAAAATATAGTAAATTTTTTTTTTGAAAACATATAATAAAAAGTAAAAAAAAAATATATTTTTTTAAATATTATTTTGTAAATAAGAAATAAATAAATAAAAAATGAAAATGAAAATTAAAATATGAAAAATAAAAAGTGGATCAAAGTAGTAGTAGTGTATAATAGTGAATAAATGAGGGTAAATTTGAGAATAAAAAAAATAAATCTCTCACTAATAAAGAAAAAGGGGAAATATGCAATACCCCCCTCATTTGAAAAATATTTTGATTTAAACCCAATTGACTTTAAAGACTTTTTCCATAACCCAAATCCCAATTTAAATTAGTGAGACCCCCCTTATCAGATATGGTAAGACTAAAATACCCCTATGGGTTAGGGTTTTAATTTTATTCCTCATTTTCGCACACACTCTCCCACGTTTACTCTCTCTCTCTTCTCTTTCTTCTTCTTTTTTTTTTTCTTTTTTTTCCTTGCAGAGCTCTCTCCGATTTAGTTGAGTCAGACGGCGGAAGAGAGGAGGCGACGAAGGAAAACTCCGATGTGCAGAGTTCCGCCAGTAGATCGAGGAAGGAGGAGGGAAGTGATAAGGTGCGCCGCGGTTGAGTGGCGATGAGCGTGAACACGAGGATCAATCTCGTGCCGCGGTTGAGTGGCTTCCCGATTCAGAACGCCGTGGTGCCCTACATTCCGCCGGAGAGCGCACAATTTCCCGAAGGGAATTCTCACACACTCGCCGCCAGTTTCCATCTCAGTAAACCCGACGTTGATAGGCTGTTGGGGAAATCCTCCATATTTTCCGGCGGCAAGAGACCGCAGCTTAAAATCGCCGTGTACTCCGGGCGGCGTGGAGCCTCGTGCGGCGTGAACTCGGGGCGGTTGTTGGGGAAGATCACGGTTCCGTTGGATCTGACCGCGGCGGAGTCCAGAGCGGTGGTCTTCCACAACGGGTGGATTAGTGTGGGGGTGGAAGCAAAAGGGTGATTTTGTGTATGAAGACCTCGTCAACTCCCATCCCTCTCTCTCGTTATTTTTCTATCTTTATTTATGTATTTTTCGATTTTTTTTATAGATCTGAACAGAAGTAGTAACATTACTAGTCATATTCGCGAATATGACTATAGTCATATTTATGTATTTCTCGATTTCTCTTTTTTTTTTTTTTTTTTTTTTCAGATCTGAAAATTGTATTTTCAGATCTGAACAGTAGCAGTAACATGACTATTGTCATATTCGAATATGACTATAGTCATATTTATGTATTGTTTGAATATGATTGTAGTCATATTCGAATATGACTATTGTTGAATACGACGGTAGTCATATTCGAATATGTTCTATTTTATCGTTTTGAAGTTGACTTCTAATAACTAGATTCAAATTGTGATTTTTTTGTGTGGATGTTGATTGTTTTCGTAAACAATAAGGAACCTTCGTTGTTTTATATAATTTGGTGAACATGACTATACCACACTATATAATCGGAATTGTTAAGTTGAAAAAGTGAAAAACTGCAATATAAAAAATAATATGACTACAGTTAATATAGTCACATATAGTCATATTCAACTATAGTCATATTCGTCTTTGTAAATCTGTCGAGAAAAGAATTTCAATTTTTTCTTTGCAAAAAATAAAAAAAAAAATTAAAAATATATTTTTATTAAAAAAATATTAAAAAAATAAATAAATAAATAATGGATAAATAAAATTCGAAAATAATTAAAAAATAAGAAATAAAAAAATCATTTTTTTATTTGGTAGCAAATTTTTAGGGATTTAGAAGCAGATTTTAAGGAAGGAATTAGATTATTGTTATGGAAAGAGAGCAAAAAGGAATAATTGAGAATAATTATGTTAATTGACATAAGGGTAGATTTGGGAATAAAATTTCTAGGGGGTTATCACAAAGAAAGATTTAAGGGATGGACATATCACCATTTCTTATCTATATGAGGGGTGTATTGCTAATGACCCCAAAGAAAAAAGAACTGGACCCGTCATCATTAAAATAACGATAGAGGGGTTCTAGAACCTTATAAATAACTAATCCATAATTGACTTATTTGTAAGATACCTTAATTATTAATAGATGTGTATTTTCGGATTTAACGTATGAAATCCATAGATATTGCAACGATCAAATCCACGTCATGTGGGCATCAAGCTTCTAGAATAATATCATTTTCTTAAGGAAAAATTTAAAGATTAATAAATTGTTGACTGTTCTTAGGCAAAAAACAATCATATCACATGCGATCCTAATTTTAGTAACACATATCTCACAACACTATTTTCTTCTGTCATTCGATTTTTAAATTATAAAATCACGATTTCAATTTACATTCTTTCCTTTTTTGACAAAATCACATTAATTACATAACAAATTTGATTGAAATTAGTTCAATGAAGAAAAATCTTAAACCCTATTACGTTATTACCAATTGGATTCAAATATTTACTTCTCTCCTCGTATAAATACAACTCATTCATACAAAGTACAAACAGTAAACAAAGAAGAAAAAAATAAATCATGGCGTGGTTTTGGACGACAGTGATATCGGTGGTGATCGTATTCCACTGGTTCGTTCAAAAGCTTCTAAACCTGACGACGACGAAGAAGAAACAGCCACCAAGTCCAAAAGGGCTACCAATTTTAGGCCATTTTCATCTCTTGGGGAAAAATCCCCACCAAAATCTGCATCGTTTAGCCCAAAAATATGGTCCAATCATGTTCCTCCGACTCGGCATGGTGCCGGCATTCGTCGTCTCTTCGCCGGCGGGAGCCGAGCTCTTCTTGAAAACCCACGATCTCTCTTTCGCGAACAGGCATCCTTCGCAGGCCGCCGAACACATTAGCTACGGCAGCAGAAACATCGCGTCCGCCCCATACGGTCCTTACTGGCGCAACATGCGCAAATTGAGCACCGTCAACTTGCTTAGCAACATCAAAATCAACCAGTTTCAGGCCATGAGAAAGGGTGAGCTTGGGGCGTTGGTCAATCGTCTCCGACGGGCTTCCGATAATCGAGAAATTGTTGATGTGGGCAAGATGGTCACGACCCTCACCGGGGATATGATTTGTATGATGGTGTTTGGGAGGAAGTACGGCGACAGCGATTTAGGCGATAAAGGGTTTAAAGCTGTGATCGAGGAGGCGCTGGATATCGCTGCCGCTCCGAATCTCGGAGACTATTTTCCGTTCATGGGGACCATTGATCTTCAGGGATTGACCCGTCGGATGAAACAACTCAGCAAAATTTTTGATGGGTTTCTCGGGAAGATCATCGACAACCATGTTCAGAACAAGCAAGAGAAGGAGACTCAAGACTTTGTGGACACCATGATCGCCATCATGGACTCTGGTGAAGCTGGATTCGAATTTGATCATCGCCATGTCAAGGCTGTGCTATTGGTAAATTTTTCTTTTCTTGCACCTCATGCCTAGTGATATTTTGCGTAAATGGATTTTTTTTTCAATAACTGAGATGTTTGGTTATGTTGGTAAGCTTTTGGGCTTCGGCTTTCATTTTATTTTGGGAAAAAAATGATTTGGGAGAAGAATTCGAAAATAAAATAAAGTTTGTTTGTTTATTGAGAGGAGACAATTTGTACTGTAGCAAGTTAAATCATGTCTAAAATGTGTTGGAAAAAGTTATTTTTGAAGAATTTAAAAGATAAAGTGATTTTAATTTGAATTTTAGTGAAAACAATTTTCACGGTTGCAGTCAAATCATGTTTATTAGTGAAAGAAATATTTAAATTGTTTTTGAGGAAAGTTTTTAAAAATATTTTAGATAGATATTTTTTATTTTGGGGAAATAGTAAAATGAATTTGAAAAGCTAACCAAACATAGCCTTTAATTTCCATTTCATTTTGTTTCCTAGGATATGCTTATCGGAGGAACAGATACTTCAGCAGTAACAGTGAACTGGGCACTCGCAGAACTCATTAGGCACCCACAAATCATGAAAAAACTGCAACAAGAACTCGATAAAGTTGTCGGCATGGACGAATACATTGAAGAATCACACCTCGACAAGCTCGACTACTTAAATTTTGTCATCAAGGAAACTTTTAGGCTCCACCCCATTGTCCCATTGATAGGCCACAAAACCATGGAAGATCTAACGGTCGAAAACTTCCATGTACCAAAGGGATCATCGGTGTTTGTGAATGTTTGGTCTATTCATAAAGATCCTAATGTGTGGGAAGACCCTGAAAAGTTCTGGCCCGAGAGATTTTCTGAAACTAATGTGGATCTTCAAGGACGTGATTTCCGGCTTTTGCCGTTTGGTTCGGGGCGAAGAGTTTGCCCGGGGTATCAGTTGGGACTAACCGTGGTGCGGTTAGTGTTGGCGCGGTTGGTTCATTGCTTTGATTGGGAGCTTCCTAATGGGATGTTGCCTAATGAATTGGATATGGCCGAGCATTTTCGTTTTGTTATGAGTAGAGAGAAGCCTCTCATGGCCATTCCCGTTTATCGATTGCATAAATGAAGGCCCCAATTGGATTTCTAGCCAATCTATTTATATTATATAATTAATTAATAAAGAGAGGATCATTACTTATTTGGAGAGTTTATCAAATGTTTGTCATTCATTTTTCGAGAACGTATGATATTCTTATTTAAAATAATCAAGTGCTATGAAAGTTATGAGTTATCCTAATATGCAAGTAATCTGTATATGACATATATATACATATATATATATATATATATATATATATATATATATATATATATATATATATATATATATATATATATATATATATATATATATATATGTATATATATATATATAATATTTTGAAAAACATGACCTTGTATGGAAACTATTTTGAACTAATTCACCAAGGATATTACATCCTCATGCAAATCCTCTCTATTTTGATATTAATTTGCAATACCTCCTGACCACCTTGAAGAACCTAAAATGCCTTTTTAAAATTAATTTTAAATCATCGCCAATTCACAGTCGTGAGCCGTCTCTCTCTTCCTCTTTCACTGTTAGATCAAAATTTTCACCCCCATAGGTTTCCAATCGGCGATTTTTTTTACCTACAACCGAGACCCAATCACCTTCAAATAAGGTTTGAGCCCGATAATTATGATCAAGTAACTTTAGCCCAACCAACTCAGTATAAATAAAGATTATAATTATTTGTTAAGGGAGGTTCAATATTTGAACTATACAACTGCTCGTACTCTAACTACTACGACTTTTGCTATCCACACACATGACTTGAGCGTCGGACGGGTTTCTGCCAGATCAACCCCCGATTTAGTTTACATGTTCTCTGATAGCAGGTATCTCAAGGTCATCAAGCTCGTGAGCCAGTGATCCGTTTTTCTCTTCGATCTCAATCTACTTTAACTACTTAAGGTGATCTAATTCTAGCATCATCACATATCTACGAACAAACGGGTGGTTCGAGTCTTTGACCGGTTCCCAAATTTCAACAACACCGTTGGAAGATATTACAAAGGGGAATAGGGCAATAAATACTATAATCCATTCGTATTTTACAACCATCATTTCTTTTTTTTATATAAATGGTTAAATGGTTTATAATTTAATTAAGGGGCTCTCTGATGAAACCCCCTAATTACTTCTTTTAATGGAGATAGGGCCAAAATATTTCTCTCAATTTTAGAAAAGCCCACATCCATTTCCAGCTATTATCTTTTCCAGTTTTGTCCGCCCGCCACATCATCACCGCGTCACGCGCTGGTCATCAGCAATTTTTTTTTTTCCGTTTTTTGTTTCCGTTTTTTTTTTTTTTTTTTTTTTTTTATGTATCAGTTTTATTAATCGACTATGAAGCATAGGCGATTACGGGAATTCTTTAATTTTGTTTTTAAATTTTGTTTTTAACTTTTTTTTGTTTTTTATTTTTTTTTCTATATCAGTATATTAATCGACTAATGAAGCAAAGTCGATTAAGAGTCTGCTACTAAAAATAACAAATCAAAACTAAAAAAAGATGTAAAATCAGCTCTATTGTACAAAAACAAAAAATATAAGAGCATTATAAATTATTTATACAATTGGAATCAATAAACAAAAAATCCAAACAAAAAGTAAAAATTTGGAGTCCATCAACCTTAATCGACTACTAGAGCATAGTCGATTAAGAATCTGCTAATAAAAATAACAAATCACAAGTGCCAAAAAAAAAAAAAAAATCAAAATCAACTACATTTTACAAAAACAAAAAATATACCAACATTATAATTGATTTATACAATTGGAATCAATAAAAAAAAAAAAAAAAAAAAAAAAAAAAAAAAAAAAAACTGGAGTTGATCAACCTTAATCGACTACCAGAGCATAGTCGATTAGCTTAATCGACTATTGAACATGTACATAGTCGATTAAGATTCCAGCTTGCGCGAATTTCTCTACACACGCCGTTCTCCGCCCGATCCACCAAAAAACCCTAAATCTGCTTCCCCATCATCACCACATCGTCGTACCACACAATTTCAACCAATTCTTAAGAAGAATAAAATAAATAATTCATACAAAAAAACACAAATTAGCTAGCATTTCAATGTCCAAAAAAAAAAAAAAACAAAAAAACAAAACAAGAATGATTCAAAGGTATTTGTCAGCCATTGTTGGTCACTCCATAAACAATTTTTGAACACATGACAAAACCAACACTAAAAAGTAAAAAAAAAAAAAACTTTCATCAACAATTTCCGTTGATTGTCCTCCAACGAGTGGTTCTTCTTCTTTCTCAACAGCTTGTTCCTCTTCTTTCTTTCTCCATCTTTCGGCGGCGGCTGCGGCAACAATTGGAAGAAGATTGCCGGAGAAAACAGAGAAAAAAAAGAACAAAACATAGAAGAGAGAAAACAAAGAAGAAGAGAAGAGAGAAACACATAGAATAAGAGAAGCGAAATACGAGAAAGCGCCGGAATAAAATTAAAAATAAGATTAGGGTTTTGAAAAAGTATAATAGACAATAAAGGGGTAGTTTTGGAATTATGAAAATATTACATTGGTGGAATATTAGGTAAGGGTGTTTTCTCTAATTATTTTTGGGAGAGGGTATTTCCTTAACTATATTTTCTAGATGGGGGGGGGGGGGGGGGGGGTGTTTCTCTAATTTTCCCTTTAATTAATTAAATTATTGTTGTGTGTTTAATTTATTCATGGTGGAAAGCATCTCATATAGGGATATAGGGGTTTTTGTGCATAAGTCCCTGACCAACCATTTTTATAGAAGTTATATCTCTTTCGTCAATAAGTCTAATTTACGGACGAAATTATTCACAAAATTGCGTTTTTGGTCAAAATTGAATAATTTGTGAAATTTGGGGTCAAATTGAGGTTAGCTTAAATTAAAGGATGAAATTGAAGCATATTAAAATGTGAGGGGCTATTTTAGTCTTTTACAAATATCTGGACCATGTGTGGATTTTTTTGTAAAAAAGTTTATTGTTTGGACCTCTTTATAAATAAGTACCCATTGATGGGCTTATTTATAAAGTGCCTTAAATTTAAATTAATTTGTGTAGTGCTCTTATGACATTTGGAGTGTGTCGTATTATTGACCTAATTTTAAAGGTAATAAATATTAAATAATTCGATGCATGCAGATACATTTTTAATTAATATTGTTCTTATCATCATAAAATATTGGTTCATAATTAATTATATGAGGGAAATTAAATGAATTAATAGAAAATATCTTTAATTTTTAAAATATTGTTGGAAATTACAAAATAAAAATTGTAACTATATATTTTGAGCATCCATTAATGAGGATTTTGAAAGCATATATATAACTTTAATAAAACGAGATAAGAGGTTGAAGACTTAAAGTTATAAAAAATAAACAAATAAATAAAATAGGCCAATCTTTTTTCTTTTTTTTTTTTTAACTCCCGCAGGAGTTTTATTTATCTTCTTCCCTATATCATTATTTATCTTTCGTTTTTAATTTTATTGTTTTTTTTAATGTAAGTACATTGTTGTGTGTTTATTCATGCATGCTTGTGAAGACGTACACCTTTAATTATATTGTCTAAAATTTGATTTAATGTATACTTTGGTCTTATGACACTTGGAGTATGTTGTAACTTGTACTATTGACTTTGTACATATATGACTGGATTTTTTTATAAATATTTTTTTTGGCATTTTGAAATGAGTTTGATGGTAATTAAATATCGAGATTATTGGGATACATTTTTAAATAATCCGTGCGTATCTTCATCGATACGAAACATTAATTACTATTTTCATATAACAATTTACCAGGGTTAATGAATTAAATGTTGAGTGTTTCGTCTGATAAAAAAAATCTACAATCTTCATAACATCCATGTTGTAGTTTTTTATTTTTTCAACTTTTTTTATTTTTAATGTTGTATTTTTTAAAAATATACGAGTGAAATATTAGAAAATCCTGGAAAATGAATTATGAGCAGCCCCAATTAAAAGGAGATGCAAGAAAAAAAACTTGGGCCTTTGGCCCTCCACTCCAAAACAAAATATTTATTTATTAATATTTATATTTCAAAATAAATATATTATATTTTCATCTAGGTCACCGAACAGTCGAAGCATTTACTTTTTCTTGCAACCTAAAGTAATGAAAATGTTGAAGTAAGGAACGGTTTGGTTAAGTTTATTTTAAACAGATGGTAAGTTTTTAAGGTATATGTATGTTTTAAGAGTTGTTAAGTTGTTATATCTTATTTTTAAAATTAATTTTTAAAGTGTTTGGATAATGATTTATCTTCTATTTTTACTCATTATAAGATCTTAAATAAAAATGTGTGGTAAATATGTTCTTTTTAAATATCTTATTTTTACTCTCCAACAACTTATTTAAAAAAATTGTAAAAAAATATCAAACACTTTGAAAGAACTTATAAAATCTTAAACCTCTTATACTTGCTCTTATATTGTTGGAAATTACTAAATGTAAGATAGTATTTTATCAGAAATTTATTATGATGTGTACACTACAAGAAAACAGGGCTTCACTGACGAAAATGCGACCAAATAAGTTGTCGCTATTTATTGACAAATTAACGACCAATTTGTGACAGATTACAGTTTATTTGCGAGGGATTCTAATTTGGTTGGAGACAGAGTCGCTAATGTAGCGACACATTTGCGTTTCATTGCTAAATCGTCACTGATGTTGCGACGCAATCAAAAGATGTTACTAATCGGTTGCTGATTTTGTGACGCAATCACAATAAATCGGTAAATAGTCACTATTTTTGTGACGAATATCATCTTCGTCGGACAATCGTCGCTGTTTCTTTAATGGATATAATTTCGTCAGAACTGCGTCACTAATTGCGACGAATTCATTTCGTCGGTAATTTCATTTGGGACGAACAACAGTTAAGTACTGTGACTAGCTATATATATATATATATATATTTATATATGAGAGAGAGAGAGAGAGAGAGAGAGAGAGAGAGAGAGAGAGAGAGAGAGAGAGAGAGAGAGAGAGAGGGAGGGAGGGAGACTGATTTAGATATATCCATTTAAGTAAAAAAAAATAAAAACTTAAAATTGTGTCTATTTTTGTTTACATGTTAATAATTAAATATGTATTAGTGAACAACAATCAATCACTCAGTTAAAAAACTAATGAAAATATAACCATGCATGCACGTACTATTTTCGACGCTACAACTGCACGACTTTTTATTTATCTTCTTCTCTATATCATTACATAGAGAGATTAATATACGATACAACCTTATATATATATATGTATATGAAATTAAAAAAATAAATGAAGAGGAGGTGGCGCCGACACATTATTATTATTAGAGACTAGTTTAAAGGAAATGAGCTGGAAATCAGAATCTCTAATGAACCACTTACTCACCTGTGCTTCATATATATTATTAGGGATGTGATAAATGCGGCTCGAGTTTTAATAATACCGTTTCGACTTTAAACGTGATTTTGATCATTTTTAATTCCAAATTTTGCAAAACCCGAAAAATAGAATTTGTAATACTGTGAGTTAGTTTTCTAATGCAACTTGAATCACCAAAATTGGATGTCGGATGAGAAAGATATATATGAATCAAGGGATACTGCCCACAACTTAGATGTATTGAGGTACCTAAAATTCGAAATGTGACTCATTTATGCATAACTTTGTCACATGACATCCAATCTAGCGGATTTAAGTTGGATTAGAAAGCTAACCCAAAGGACTACAGTTTTTGTGTTTCGAATCTTGCCAAAATCAAAATAGAAATATATCAAAATCAGGTTCGAAGTCAAAACGACATTAGTAAATTAAAATTGAAACGACATTTAACATTTCAGATATTATTATGATATACCTAATTGGGCCGACCCAATGGGCCCCAATTCATTTAACAATTAGGTCCAATACACGAAAGTATTCGGGCCCATTACACGAAAGCCCAAGCACCTTCAAAATAAGGCTTGGGCCCAACAAAATAAGCCCAACTCAATCAACGACATATAAATAGAAGTTTTATTCATTTGTAAAGGGACGTTCTCATTATTGACAATTCACCTCAAGTTTTATTCTCCCTACTCTCTCTACGATCCATACATCTGACTTGAGCGTCGGAGGGGTTTCCGCCGGATCAACCCCCGGCTTAGTTCACGTGTACTTGTTTTGTAGGGACCTCAGGAACATCGAGTTGACTAGCTACTGATCAGCTTTGCTCTCCCAGCTCGTTTTCTATACTATCCTAGGTGAGCTATATTTTAGCTTCATCATTTTGGCGCCGTCTGTGGGAACGATGCAAACCAGATCACGTAGCCAACAAGATCCTCCTGAGGCGTCAGCTCGGAGAGAAAACGACACAGCTAATAACCTCCCCGCTCGTGGAGGATCTGGCATCCCACCTCCTCCACGCGCCGCGGAGCAACTTCCCCCACGTGCCACGGAGCCAGCTCCTCCACGTACTGCAGATCCACCTCGCGAGGTTCAGGTGATCCCCCCTCGGGACCCACCACTCGCCGATCCACCACTCCCTGCTCCTCGAACGGTTCAGATAACCGAGGACGCACTCCAATGTATGATAGCGGAAGCTTCTACTCGCGCCGCCACGGAGGCCGTAACTCAATATATCGCCACGATGGGAGCAAACGCTCCCAATGCGATACCAGCACAAGCTCCACCTATAGTACCACCAGTGGTCCCACCGCCGATCCAGAATCAAATAAGTGTCTCCTCTTCTACGTCGGACCCACGGTCCCGAGTGCAGCTATCTACCAATCACAGAGGAGCACACCCCAGACAACAACGTCGACGCTCACCCCTACGGGGGAATGCATCACCACCAAGAATCCCTCTCTTTAATGAGGGAGAAGGCGAAGTAAACAGCCGAATGTCTCGCCAAAACCTTTTCTCCCAACCAAATAATCAAATGGGTGAGAGGATGCCTCTCCCAGCAAGACGCAGTCCCTTCACCATAGACATCCTCAACGAGGTATTACCTCAAGGAGTAAAGATCTCGGGGTTACCTCAATTCGAAGGGACCACCGACCCACAGGAACATATTGAGAAATTCAGTGCCATGGCGGATTTATACGGCCCGACGGATGCGGCGATGTGCAAAATGTTCCGTACCACTCTCTCCAAGAGGGCGATGAATTGGTTCAACTCTCTACCCATAGGGTCGATTGACACCTTCGCTCGGTTGTCGACCCGGTTCACCAACCAATTCGCCATCAACAAACAATATGCCAAGACCCCAGCTCATCTTTTCTCTGTAGTGCAGAGAGATAACGAAACGCTCCGCAACTACATCAAACGTTTCGTAGAAGCCGTCCATGAAGTCCCCAGTGTGGGGCAAGACATGCTCTCAGGGATTATGCAACAGAACTTGAAACCGGGTAGATTCAAGGAATCTATTGCCGGAAGACCACCAGGCAACCTAGAGGAGTTGCTAAATCGAGCCGAAAAGTACGTCCGGATAGAGGAAGCCTCTACCCATGCTCCTCCTAAAAGGAAGAGGGAAGATGACCGTCAGGACAATAGGAGACGTGATGACCGACTCCCACCACTTCCACCTCAAAACCAACCCTCCTCTTCCTACAATAGGTTCACTCCGCTAAACGCTCGCCTCACTGAAATACTTCACGTGATAGAACAGAAAGGTTTAGCAGAGCCCCCACGTCCTATGCAACCAAATGCAAAGCGAGAAAAGTCGGATCGTTACTGTCGATTCCATAAAGACAGGGGGCATACTACAGAGGAATGTGCACAACTCAAAATGGCGATCGAGAGGCTTATCAAACAGGGCCATTTAGGTGAATACATTGATAAGCCGCGAAATAAGCGCCGTGATGACCCTCCACGCCGAGATAACAATCGAGATCAACAACAAAGGCGAGAGGATGGAGGTCATCGACGTGACCTAGATAACAACGATAATCAGCCTACCCGAGGAATCATCTCCTTTATCTCCGGAGGACCGGCGGGGGGCGACTCACAAAATGCAAGACGCACCCTCGCTCATTCAGCACGCATGAATCAAGAACATGCCGCTCCGTCCGCACGCATATATCAAATACGAAGACCTGATCACAGCATAGTCTTCAACTCCTCCGACCTCGAAGGTCCAGATGAAGACCATGTCGATGCATTGGTAGTAACAACAACGGTGGCCAACTTCTTGGTCAAGAAGATATTAGTGGACGGTGGAAGCTCAGCTGACATCATGTACCTCCACGCTTTTAAGCAACTGGGCATAGATAATGCCCGGTTTAATCCCGTCTCCACACCTCTGAAAGGATTCACAGGAGAAGGCATTTTGTCCATGGGAGAAGTGGAGCTGCCCGTCTCTTTAGGGGAAGACCCTTGTCGAATCACCAAGCTAATCAAATTCCTCGTCGTCGACAAGCCATCCCCCTACAACATCATCCTAGGGAGGCCAGCGATCCATACCTTCAAATCAGTACCTTCCTCCTACCATCAGAAGTGGAAATTCCCCACTCCCTACGGAATGGGGGAAGTACTTGGAGATAGACGTCTCGCTCGAGAGTGCTATGCGAGGGCCCTACGAGAACCCTCCAAGAAGCCTAAACCACCAGGAAGGGGAGACGACACCCAAAAATCCGACAAACGGAAGTGGGTCAATGCGATTATTGAGGACAATAAAGATATCCTCATCAGTGTACCAGACGATAGCATCAAGCTGGCAGCTGTCGAAGAGCTTAAGTTCATAGAGCTCACCCCTGGAGATGGCTCCAAACTCTTACGCATCGGATCAGATTTAGATCCTGAAATGGAGAAGCAATTAATCAAATTCTTGCGACACAATGGAGATGTGTTCGCCTGGAAAGCTCAAGATTTGTCGGGCATTCCCCCTCATGTAGCCCTACATCGGCTTAACATCGACAAAAAGTTAAAGCCGATCAAACAGAGGAAACGAACGTTTGGACCCGAACGCAACAAGCATATCAAGGCAGAAGTGGCTAAACTTCTAGAGGCGGGTCATATACGACCAGTTCAGTATCCTGAATGGTTGTCGAACGTAGTGCTCGTTCCCAAACCCGGTGACAAGTGGAGATTATGCGTAGATTTCACTGACCTCAACAAAGCCTGTCCTAAGGACTCATTTCCTCTACCCAGAATCGATCAGCTCATCGATTCGACCTCGGGGTGCGAACTCCTCAGCTTCCTCGATGCATACCAAGGATATAACCAGATCTTACTTGCACCAGAAGATCAAGAGAGGGCTAGTTTCATCACTGACCAGGGCATCTACTGCTATCAAGTCATGCCCTTCGGGTTGAAAAACGCAGGAGCCACCTACTAGCGTCTAGTGAACAAAATGTTCGCAGATCAGATCGGTAAAAATATGGAGGTGTACATCGACGATATGCTCGTCAAAAGTATTAAGGTCTCGGACCACATAACGGATCTGGAACAGTGTTTCACCACCTTGCGAAAATATAAGATGAAGCTCAACCCCCTCAAATGTTCATTCGGAGTTAGGGGAGGCAAATTTTTGGGTTATATGATTTCGCAGCGAGGAATCGAAGCTAATCCCGCTAAAATCGAAGCAATCACCTCCATGACTCCGCCAACATCGATCAAGAAAGTTCAACAACTCAACGGCTGTTTGGCATCCCTGAATAGATTCATTTCAAGATCAGCGGACAAAGCTCTCCCATTTTTCAAGATTTTAAGGGGAGGAAAAAAGTTCGAGTGGGATGAGGCATGTCAAAAAGCCTTCACTGAGCTAAAGTCATACCTCGCTTCACCACCCTTGCTCACAAAACCTCAGCCGGGAGACACACTCATGTTGTACTTAGCTACCTCGGCTAATGCCATCAGCGCGGTCCTCATCCGAGATGGAGGAAAAGGTCACCAACCCATATACTACATAAGTCGCGCTCTTCAAGGAGCCGAGCAACACTATACCAATATGGAGAAGCTCACTCTCGCCCTCATCAACGCTGCCCGAAAGCTTCGACCTTACTTCCAGTCACATCAAGTAGTGGTTCTCACCAATTATCCACTGAAGCAAATACTAAGGAGTCCCGAAACGTCCGGGCGATTAGCAAAATGGGCTATAGAGCTAAGTGAATACGGAGTAGAATTCAAACCCTGCCCAGCTATCAAAGCACAAATACTGGCTGACTTTCTAGTCGAAATGACCACAGTAGAAGAAAGCACCTCTCTACCTACTTGGTCCGTCAGCGTCGATGGATCTTCTACTACAACAGGAGGTGGAGCGGGCATCGTACTAACAAACCCCGACGGAGACGAATTCGAGTATGCTCAACGCTTCGAATTCACAGCCTCGAACAACGTCGCTGAGTACGAAGCACTGATAGCAGGAATCCGCCTCGCCCTGGCAGCCGGAGCGCGCAAGCTCCTAATCCAAAGCGATTCTCAGCTCATCGTCAACCAAGTACTCGGAGCTTACGAGGCTAAAGAAGACACCATGGCCAAATACTTAGCTCTCGCGCACACTCTCTTATCTAAATTCGAGAGTTACGAGATAAAACAAGTACATGCTAGCATCGGAAGTCGGAAGGTCACGCTCCTCACCTCACCCCAGCCAGAGATAACTTCACCCACTGAAGTACAGTACACCGAGGAGGATGAACCATGCTGGTTCACTCCAATCCTGAAGTATCTCAAGAAGGGAGAACTTCCAGCGGATTCCACCGAAGCACGAAAGTTAAAAACGAGAGCCGCTCGCTTCGTCATAGTGGGAGAAGAGTTATACAAACGAGGGTTCTCATTCCCTTACCTCAAGTGCCTCGACCCGACCACAGCGGATTACGTACTTAGAGAAGTACATGAAGGCATCTGCGGCAATCACTTGAGCGGGAGGACCTTAGCTCTCAAATTACTGAGGCAGGGCTACTATTGGCCGACGATGCATGAAGATGCGAAAAGATTAGTCCGGAGGTGTAAGCCCTGCCAAGAGCATGCCAATATCACTCACATGCCAGCAGCGTTAATGCAACCAATTGACAGCCCCATCCCTTTCGCCCAATGGGGGATGGATTTAGTTGGACCATTCCCGCCCGCCACAGGAGGACGCAAATACCTCATTGTAGCAGTGGACTACTTCACCAAATGGGTGGAGGCTGAACCCTTAGCACGTATCCGAGAGGAAGAAGTCATTCAATTCCTATGGAAAAACATCGTCTGTCGCTTTGGAATCCCACGTTCCATTATCTCAGATAATGGAACCCAATTTTGCGGTGACAAAGTGAAGAATTGGTGCCTCGGCTTAGACATCAAACAATTCTTCACATCTGTAGCAAATCCACAGGCTAATGGCCAGACGGAGGTCACGAATCGCACCATACTCCAACACCTTAAGACAAGACATGGAAGTGCCAAAGGGAAGTGGGTGGACGAATTGCCTAACGCACTTTGGGCTTATCGCACAACCCCACGAGCATCAACCGGAGAGTCGCCCTTCAATCTAGCTTTCGGAACAGAGGCTATCGCCCCTGTCGAAATAGGAGAACCATCTTGGCGAATCACTAACTATGACCCAACAGCTAATGAAGAGGCTATGCGGGGAAGCCTAGACCTCGTAGATGAGTTACGGGAGATCGCATACATCCGACAACAGATGTATAAATCACGCATGGCCAAGGCATATAACTCAAAAGTCCGCCCTCGCTCCTTTCAAGTCGGAGATTTAGTCCTCCGAAAAGCTGAAGCCTCTCACCCCATCGGTAAGCTCGACCCAAAGTGGGAAGGACCGTATAAAATCACAAAGGTGGTCAACACGGGAGCATATCGCCTCGAGAACATTGATGGACGCCCTATACCCAGAACATGGAATATAGGGAACCTCAAGCGGTTCTACGCTTAAGGTATACATCTACCTTACTTCAGATCAGTTAAGATCACCATCCATACCCTTTCTATATGAAAGTTACTTACAAATTGTTGCATCTGCAGGCTCCACGACCTTCCACGTAACTCGTCTTGTAAGCTGTTCCTAGATGGTTAGAAATCTTTCTACTACATAACCAGGTGCGTTAACATCCCACCTAAACTGGGGGGCTAGTAAATTTATTTTCACCAGCAATTCCTCATCACATCCCACCATCTTATTACAGATTGAGATCCATTATGAGAGGATGCATATTACTCTAGCAACGGCCCAAAGAGCGAGAACACTCCATACCACATCGCCAGAGGTAACTATACTTCCACTCGCATTCAACACACGGATGATCTTATTTAATCCTACTAACGTGAAAAAATAATTCCACCAGCAGGCATGATCGCATAGTAACTCGCAGCAACTCACGACTTGATTTCATATCTCGAAGTGCAAGAAAGAAAAAAAAAACATCCCCATAGCATGGTACGTAGATCGGCAATGCGCATCCCCTCAGCTTAAATTACTAAGTCTTCAATACAAATGCTTAGACAAAATTCTTTTTTCTCAATTATATTTGACAGGCGTAGAAACGCCAAAGGAATTCATTTTACCATCAGCACAGCAAAACGAACGAGTACAAGCAAGACGTGGAAGAAGAAGAACAAGTGTAGTACAATCACTTAGAACAATTTTTATCAAGTCAAATTTTTTTTTTTTCTCTCTCGCTCCACCAGTAGTTATTTACCTTTGCCTCACGTAGGCCCATCGCATTAGTCATTTACTTACATTCGCCTCACATAGGCATGTAATAATTCTCCTTTGCTATCGTTGAATAAAGAATACTTTTTGCTTTACTATCTACGCCTTTACGTCTATACAAATTACCTCTTACCATGAGTTCAAGTCAATATCACCCTACAAACACTTAGAGAGATTTAGATAATCCGTATAGCCTGGCCAGCTGGATTAGCTAAGTCCTTTTATTTGTTTCACGAGGTGTTAATTTTAAAACGTGGCCACGGACAAATATATTTAAGACCCAAGCGGTCCGAACAAAGGGCACGACCCTTAACAAAAACCTTGGGAGACTGATCCCCTCCTCAAGTACATCGCGTACAATGCTAAGTGTAAATACATATAAGCAGCGCATTAACTCTTGACAATGTCAAAACAAATAATTCAAGATACCAAATTTCAAATGTCGAACAAGGAAAAAATTCAAACGAAATAGTAGAGGACATACCCATCTACATTAGCGAGAAAAATAAAATAAGACTCCAAACACAAAAAAAAAAAAAAAATAATAATGATAATATATATATAAGTTTAACTATCCTGGCAAATAAATCTAAACTCCCCTACTGCGGGCGGAAGACGTCCCCACAGTGGGATCATCAGCAACCATATCAGCCACAAGCTCTGTGCCTGTCCCATCAACATCTAGATCATACTCTCCATCCGAGATACCAGCCTCCATCCCTCGAATCACCTTCTCACTGATACCACCCGCATCGCGAAGATATTTGCGACAAACACGCACTAATGGCTTATAGATCACAGCCAACGCATGCTCCTCAATCATAGCAGCACACTCATCACTACCTCGGAAACTAAGCTTGGTTTCCTCCACGATGGACTCCTTATAAGCCGCACCACCTGATGTCGCGAGGAACCTCTTCCCCGTCGCCTTCTCAACTTCGTATTTCTCCTTGAGCTGGTCGTAGCATTCGTTCAACTTGTGAACATCATCCTTATACGCCTTCGCATCACCTCGGATAACCTCGAGCTCCTCTGTCTTCTGCGCAAGCTCCTCTGTCTTCCGAGCAAGCTCTTCCGAGCGTTGAGCAAGATCGGACCGCGCTACTTCCAACTGGCTTAGAAGATCATCCTCACGCGCGTGAATTCGAGCCCGCTCCTCTTCCTTCATAGCTTCCACGTTCCTACCGTGTTCCATGAGATATCTCCAAGTCGCCACCAACTAAAAAAAAAAAAAAAAAAAAAATAATAATAATAAATAACAATATTTTTCGCAAATCAAGAAGGAATTAAACATAAAAAATTGTCTTAAGTAGACAAGTACTCACCCGACATATGTCCCCACCAGCTAACTCTAGCATGTGAGAAGGACCCTTACCAGACATCCGTGCACGGTCATACTCTCGAACGAATCCATCGGTACTCAACATCGGCAAATCATAATCCGATACATCCCAGTACGATTCCTTACCATCGCGGTTCACGCCATAAGTAAACAGTTGTTTCCCTCCTCCACCATGGAAAGCATAAGTCTCCTCTGGGTCTACCCGGGGACGCTTAGGCACAGCCACATACTCGGTATCCACCCTCTTTCCCTTGCCACGATCCTTCTTCAGTGGACGCCCCTCCACTTCACCAGCACTACTACGGTCATCTGCGACTATTCGAGGAGTTTCTACATGAACCTCCTCACGAGGCAAACCACTTGAAGAACCTCCCATCGCTGAGGGTACCTTCTTCGATGACTTCTTCGACGTCCCATTCGCCTTAGCTTGAAGTGCCGCAAAAGTGATTCCCCCATCTACAAAAGATAACAAACACATAAGAGACATGAGGTATATACTACCACAGAACCACAAAAAAAAAAAAAAAAAAAAAAAAAACACAAGTCAAGGCAACAAAAGGATATACAGCGCTGACCCTTCGGTTTTGGTATTAAAACCCTCGGGTCAAATTCCACGTCACACAATCCCGACTCTTCAATCCTTTTCGCCATATTCGCCGTTATCGTGAAACTCTCTCACGAAGGATTCCAAACAACAGGAACTTCAAAAGTGGGAGCCCTCACATAAAAAAAATGGGTTTTCCATTTCCCCAAAGATAACTTCACACTCTTCACGAATCGATAAGGAACGCGAGGATGAAAACAAAAGAAAGGCGTCATATTGGGACGATGTAACGTAAATAACGCCTTGAACATACTCACGGTCATAGGCAAACCAACTAAAGACAACCTATGGTGAAACGCCTCGAACGTAAGAACTGCAGTCGGCGTTAACTGACTGTACCCTATCTTAAACTCCTCGCAAACCTTCAACAAGGTCGGATGCGGTGTAATCTGAGAGGTACACGTCAAGTAACCCAAAAACACCGTATGAAATCCATCGGGTGGCGAATACAAACGGTATCCCTTCTGAGGCAACAACAACTCAACATTACTTGGCGCTCCAGATAAACGACGAATAGAGTGCAGATGCTCTTCCGTCAACACACTATCAAAATCAACTAAGTCCAAATTAATTAGCTTCTTTTTCTTTTGCCTTCTACTATCAACCTCAACATCACCCAGCGGAATATCATCTTCCTCCTCCTCCTCGACCATCGGCTCACCTTCACTACTCGCCACCGCATGTTCACTCGGCGAAGGCGATTGGTTAGAATCATCGCTATCACTCCCAAAATCCACGACTTGACGCCTATAATGACGTCTACTAGAACCCACTTCATCAACGGTAGGGGGAATAGTAATATCCTTATGCACTTCTACATCGTCACTCCACGATTCAATGATTTCTCGCCGACCAAAACTTTCCCCATGTAAAACATCACCTACATTAGCACCCTCGGAAATTTGCCCATTAATTTCGCGCGAACCGCGCCCGAAACCAACTTCACACGCGCCCTCACGCGCGCGCGCGACCCCAAAAAGGGCTGAATCACGCGCGCGCGCGTCCCCCAGTACAGCTAGCCCACGTGGCTCTTCCCCAGCCACACACGCGCGCTCACGCGCCCCGAAACCCTCCAGCGACGCGCGCGTACGCGCGCCCACATTGGGCAGCGCGCGCGCGTCACCAGCACCCCCACCATCCGCCACCGACGCGCGCGCACGCGCCCCTTGATTGGGCAGCGCGCGCGCGTCAGCACTGCTACTTCCACCAACCAGCACGCGCGCGTCGGGACACGGTCCAATCCCGCGCGCGCGTTGCCCCACCTCCGACGCGCCTCCAGCGACAGCTGGCCCACGTGGCCTGCTGTTTCTCTCTCCTCTCTGCTCGTTCTTCGAGCAAGCCGGCGGCTCATCAGCTCCACTCGGCTCCAAAGCCGCCTCGACGCGCGCGCCCACACACAAATTTACCCGGCTTCCGGCGCGGCTCAAGCCAGCGGCAGCCCTCCTTTTCTCCCTCATCTGCACAAAATTCCGTGCATCTTCTACTGCGGATCCGATTTCCGCACCCGATACCACAAGTTTCTCGCGTTCCACACCCACCGTCCCAAAGGTTTTCCTGCCCCCTCCAACCGGATCTCGAAGTTTAATTCGCAAAGATTTCGAGTTACCCGAATTCGACATCAGAAATATTTTTCCCCAGAGAAGCAATCAAGAAAACAACAGATTTTCTACTCTACCGCAAAAAATATTTTTCAAGAGAAGAGTAGCACAGAAGAAGATTGAGAATTAAAAATACATACCCATAGATATTTCGTAGGAGTTGAAGTTTAACGCTTCGCACCGCAAAAGGAGTCTATTTATCTGGCCCTAGTATATTATTTAAAACCCTTAAATATATACTTGGTTGCCAAATAAATACAATAATCCCTTATTTAAATTAAGGAATTATTTCACCACCAACGGAAACAATTCAATAGACGACGCAATTAACTCTCGACACGACCCGGATACCTCTGGACAAGTCCCCATCTCGAATCGAGAGTTGGGGGGCTTAATGATATACCTAATTGGGCCGACCCAATGGGCCCCAATTCATTTAACAATTAGGTCCAATACACGAAAGTATTCGGGCCCATTACACGAAAGCCCAAGCACCTTCAAAATAAGGCTTGGGCCCAACAAAATAAGCCCAACTCAATCAACGACATATAAATAGAAGTTTTATTCATTTGTAAAGGGACGTTCTCATTATTGACAATTCACCTCAAGTTTTATTCTCCCTACTCTCTCTACGATCCATACATCTGACTTGAGCGTCGGAGGGGTTTCCGCCGGATCA